AGGGTTGTCGGTGGAGACACGACCGCTGGATGACACCGGGAGCACTGGCCTCTGGCTGCGAATAGTGCTGCCTCGACCCCTTCCTCTGCTGCCACGTCTGTCTGCTCGCTCCTAAAACATTGCCTCCTCTGCCACTCCTCTGCATGTTGTCTGACATACTCTTTAATTAAACGATTATGTGTCCCTGAGTAACAATTCTGTGTCCCTGAGTAACAATTCTGTGTCTGTGCGAGTAACAATTCTGTGGCCCTAAGTAACAGTTCTGTGGCCCTCAGTAACAATTCTGTGTCCCTGATTAACGTTTCTGTGGCCCCAAGTAACAGTTCTGTGGCCCTCAGTAACAATTCTGTGTCTGTGCGAGTAACAATTCTGTGTCTGTGCGAGTAACAATTCTGTGGCCCTAAGTAAAGTTTCTGTGGCCCTAAGTAACAATTCTCTGGCACTCAGTAACAATTCTGTCTGTCCCTGAGTAACAATTCTCTGGCACTCAGTAACAATTCTGTCTGTCCCTGAGTAAAAATTCTGTGGCCCTAAGTAAAGTTTCTGGGCCCTGAGTAAACAATTATCTGGCACTCAGTAACAATTCTGTCTGTCCCTGAGTAACAATTCTCTGGCACTCAGTAACAATTCTGTCTGTCCCTGAGTAAAAATTCTCTGGCCCTAAGTAAAGTTTCTGTGGCCCTGAGTAACAATTCTCTGGCACTCCGTAACAATTCTGTCTGTCCCTGAGTAACAATTCTCTGGCACTCAGTAACAATTCTGTCTGTCCCTGAGTAAAAATTCTGTGGCCCTAATAAAAAGTTTCTGTGGCCTAAGTAACAATTCTCTGGCACTCAGTAACAATTCTGTCTGTCCCTGAGTAACAATTCTCTGGCACTCGTAACAATTCTGTCTGTCCCTGAGTAACAATTCTCTGGCACTCAGTAACAATTCTGTCTGTCCCTGAGTAAAAATTCTGTGGCCCTAATTAAAGTTTCTGTGGCCCTAAGTAACAATTCTCTGGCACTCAGTAAAGTTTTCTGTCCCTGAGTCTGTCCCTGAGTAACAATTCTCTGGCCACTCAGTAACATTCTTCTGTCTGTCCCTGAGTAACAATTCTCTGGCACTCAGTAACAATTCTGTCTGTCCCTGAGTAAAAATTCTGTGGCCCTAAGTAAAATTTTCTGTGGCCCTGAGTAACAATTCTCTGGCACTCCGTAACAATTCTGTCTGTCCCTGAGTACAATTCCTGTGCCCTAACTAGCGTTTCTTCTGTCCCTGAGTAACAAAGTAACAATTCTGTGGCCCTCAGTAACAATTTCTGTGTCTGTGCGAGTAACAATTCTGTGTCTGTGCCCTGAGTAACAATTCTCTGTGGCCCTAAGTAAAATTCTCTGGCACTAAGTAACAATTCTCTGTGGCCCTGAGTAACAATTCTCTGGCACTCAGTAACAATTCTGTCTGTCCCTGAGTAACAATTCTCTGGCACTCAGTAACAATTCTGTCTGTCCCTGAGTAAAAATTCTGTGGCCCTAAGTAAAGTTTCTTGGGCCCTGAGTAAACAATTCTCTGGCACTCAGTAACAATTCTGTCTGTCCCTGAGTAACAATTCTCTGGCACTCAGTAACAATTCTGTCTGTCCCTGAGTAAAAATTCTGTGGCCCTAAGTAAAGTTTCTGTGGCCCTAAGTAACAATTCTCTGGCACTCAGTAACAATTCTGTCTGTCCCTGAGTAACAATTCTCTGGCACTCAGTAACAATTCTGTCTGTCCCTGAGTAAAAATTCTGTGGCCCTAAGTAAAGTTTCTGTGGCCCTAAGTAACAATTCTCTGGCACTCAGTAACAATTCTGTCTGTCCCTGAGTAACAATTCTCTGCACTCCCTAAGTAAAATTCTGTCTGTCCCTGAGTAACAATTCTCTGGCACTCAGTAACAATTCTGTCTGTCCCTGAGTAAAAATTCTGTGGCCCTAAGTAAAGTTTCTGTGGCCCTGAGTAACAATTCTCTGGCACTCCGTAACAATTCTGTCTGTCCCTGAGTATGAATTCCTGTGGCCCTAAGTAACGTTTCTTTGTCCCTAAGTAAAGTTTCTGTGGCCCAGTAACAGTTCTGTGTCTGTGCGAGTAACAATTCTCTGCACTGTGCGAGTAACAATTCTGTGGCCCTAAGTAAAGTTTCTGTGGCCCTGAGTAACAATTCTCTGGCACTCCGTAACAATTCTGTCTGTCCCTGAGTAACAATTCTCTGGCACTCAGTAACAATTCTGTCTGTCCCTGAGTAAAAATTCTGTGGCCCTAAGTAAAGTTTCTGTGGCCCAGAGTAACAATTCTCTGCACTCGAGTAACAATTCTGTCTGAGTAACAATTCTCTGGCACTCCGTAACAATTCAATTCTGTGCCCTGTAACTAGCCTTTCTGAGTAACAATTCTGTCTGTCCCTCCCTGAGTAACAATTCTGTGGTCCTAAGTAACGTTTCTTTGCCCTAAGTAACAGTTCTGTGGCCCTGAGTAACAATTCTGTGTCTGTGCGAGTAACAATTCTGTGGCCCTAAGTAACAGTTCTGTGGCCCTCAGTAACAGTTCTGTGTCTGTGCGAGTAACAATTCTGTGTCTGTGCGAGTAACAATTCTGTGGCCCTAAGTAACAGTTCTGTGGCCTAACAGTAACAATTCTGTGCACTCAGTAACAATTCTGTGTCTGTGCGAGTAACAATTCTGTGGCACTCAGGCCCTAAGTAAAATTCTGTGGCCCCTAAGTAACAATTCTCTGGCACTCAGTAACAATTCTGTCTGTCCCTGAGTAACAATTCTCTGGCACTGAGTAACAATTCTGTCTGTCCCTGAGTAAAAATTCTGTGGCCCTAATTAAAGTTTCTGTGGCCCTAAGTAACAATTCTCTGGCACTCAGTAACAATTCTGTCTGTCCCTGAGTAACAATTCTCTGGCACTCAGTAACAATTCTGTCTGTCCCTGAGTAACAATTCTGTGGCCCTAATAACGTTTCTGTGGCCCTAAGTAACAATTCTCTGGCACTGAGTAACAATTCTGTCTGTCCCTGATTATGAATTCTGTGGCCCTAACTAGCGTTTTTCTTTTCTTTGTCCCTAAATAACGATTCTGTGGCCCTCATTAACAAGTCTGTGTCCCTGAGTAATGGTTCTCTGTCCCTAAGTAACTTTTCTCTGTCCCCAATTATCGTTTCTGTGGCCCTAACTCTGTCCCTGTCCCTAGTACAGAGCGGTCTGCCTCTGTTCAATAACTGCAGGCAAATGAAGAATTCCAAAATGGCCGCTATTTATAGCTCGACCATTACACAGTGCTGGCTGGCTGGCTGCTGATAGGCTGATGCGATCACATGTAGTTGAGGAATGCATTATGGGTCAGCGCGCCTTGTCTGCGCGCCTTCCCAGACATCCCCGCTCCGTCGCCGCACATGTCAGCCGCCATTTTCTGAAAAATTTCGATTCGCGCGTCCGAATTAGGCTATTTTTCGGATTCGGCACGAATCGAAATTTTTCCGATATTCGACTCGAATTCCACTTCGGATACTTCGATTCGCTCATCTCTAATAGTGAATGCAGGGTCCGGGGAGACCAGATATAGTGAATGCAGGGTCCAGGGAGACCGGATATAGTGAATGCGGGGTCCGGGGAGACCGGATATAGTGAATGCAGGGTCCGGGGAGACCAGATATAGTGAATGCAGGGTCCGGGGAGACCGGATATAGTGAATGCAGGGTCCAGGGAGACCAGATATAGTGAATGCAGGGTCCGGGGAGACCAGATATAGTGAATGCAGGGTCGGGGAGACCGGATATAGTGAATGCAGGGTCCGGGGAGACCAGATATAGTGAATGCAGGGTCCGGGGAGACCAGATATAGTGAATGCAGGGTCCGGGGAGACCAGATATAGTGAATGCAGGGTCCGGGGAGACCAAATATAGTGAATGCAGGGTCCGGGGAGACCAGATATAGTGAATGCAGGGTCCGGGGAGACCGGATATAGTGAATGCAGGGTCCGGGGAGACCAGATATAGTGAATGCAGGGTCCGGGGAGACCAGATATAGTGAATGCAGGGTCCGGGGAGACCGGATATAGTGAATGCAGGGTCCGGGGAGACCGGATATAGTGAATGCAGGGTCCGGGGAGACCGGATATAGTGAATGCAGGGTCCAGGGAGACCGGATATAGTGAATGCAGGGTCTGGGGAGACCAGATATAGTGAATGCAGGGTCCGGGGAGACCGGATATAGTGAATTCAGGGTCCGTGGAGACCAGATATAGTGAATGCAGGATCCGGGGAGACCAGATATAGTGAATGCAGGGTCCGGGGAGACCAGATATAGTAAATGCAGGGTCCGGGGAGACCAGATATAGTGAATGCAGGGTCCGAGGAGACCAGATATAGTGAATGCAGGGTCCGGGGAGACCAGATATAGTGAATGCAGGGTCCAGGGAGACCAGATATAGTGAATGCAGGGTCCGGGGAGAGCGAATATACTGAATGCAGGGTCCGGGAAGAGCGGATATAGTGAATGCAGGGTCCAGGGAGCCCAGATATAGTGAATGCAGGGTCGGGGGAGACCAGATATAGTGAATGCAGGGTCCGGGGTTTAGTAACACTTTAAGGGGGGGGGATATGGTCAACATGTATAAATACATACAGTAGGTGGTCCATATAGTGAACTCGGTGTAGAGTTGTTCACTTTAAGGTCACCACAGAAGAGAAGTAGACACATGAAAAAGAGATTTAATCTCTAAATATTGAAAGGTTTCTTCATGGTAAAGCTGTGAAAATGTAAAATAGACTCCCTCAATAGTTAGTTCTGGCCAGCTCAGTAGATTATTTTTAAAAAGTCCTGGATTCTTTCCTAAATATACAGAATATAACTGACTACTAATATTTATAAGTAAACTTGATCCAGGGAATATCCGATTGCCTCTCGGGAGATCAGGAAGGATTTTTTTCCCCTGCTGGAGCAATTTGGATCAAGCTTTGCTGGGTTTTTTAGCCTTCCTCTGGATCAACTGTGGGCAGGGGCAGACTGACAACTCATGGGGCCCCCGGGCAATAGGGGATCATGGGGCCCCTGTATCCTTGCCCAAACTCAAAAAAACCTATGAAAAAGGTACCAGGGGCATCTCATGGGGCCCCCTACTGACCCCGGGCCCTCGGGCAGTGCTCGAGTTTCCAAATGGTCAGTCCGCCCCTGACTGTGGGTGTAGGATTGTGTATAAAGGATTGTATAATTTTTTGTTCCCCTTTTAATGGTTGAACTAGATGGACTTGTGTCTTTTTTTCAACCAGACTAACTATGTCAAATAAGAAATATGTCGTTCTGTCTGCCCCACTGGGCTCAGTTTTGCCGCAGTTTGTCTTGGTACCCCTTAGAGCAGTGGTTCTCAACCTGTGGGTCACGACCCCTTTGGGGGTCGAATGACCCTTTCACAGGGGTCCCCTAAGACCATCAGAAAACATATATTTCCGATGTGTAAAGAGCAGCTACTGTGTAGAAAGCAGCTGCTGTGTTGAAAGCAGCAGTATTGTTGAAGCAATACTGTGTTGAAACACTCATGAAGTAAAACGACATGAATTTATTACTGGGTAAATAATTTTATGGTTGGGGGGTCACCACAACATGAGGAACTGTATTAAAGGGTCACGGCATTAGGAAGGTTGAGAACCACTGCCTTAGAGCAAACATTTTTTTTATCTGTTGTCCTCAACTACAAATCACCAAGTAACCTTCCCAAGTCTTACACATTCTCACGGAAACCTAATGACTTTTTCTATTTTGTCTCTTTATTTTTTCCTCCCCTCCTTGCTATATAAAGGACCGAGGACAGAGGAACCAGTGTTAGAGCAACTGAGTGTTGATGTTTTGTCTTGTAAAGTATGGAAGGGTCCCTTAGGAAAACTCAGCCATTCAGTTAAACTTTTCTGGGAGTTGCAATATGGAATGGGTTTAGCCAGACTCCTGTGCAAAAGTAACTGATGTTTTCAGGTTCTCATGCTAGCCCTGTCAGCGATGGAGGAGAAACTTGGTGGGATAAAGAATGTGACACCAGTGCCAAAAAATTAGCACAGTGTCGCTCCACAAGACACACAAAAGGTTTAGCTGCAGGTAGAAGTTCCACATTTTTTCTCACTCCATCAATTTTAAGAAAATTTTGGGTTCAACCTTTGTGACTGCCACCAGAATGTTCACATGGGGGGACTACACATACAGTACATGTTGATTATCATGCACTTGTCAAACTCCAATACCTGCTCTCTGGCATCACACTGCCACACTTCAGTTGTTACTCTCCTCTCTTTCCTTTACATTGGTAATCCCTGTCTTCTCTGTTCCTACATGTGCTCTCTCCACAGTGTTGGTTTTAGTTTCACCCCCAGTGGTTAGGGCTGTGGATAAGGGGGTACCACCAGTCCTCCTATATGGGGCCCAGGCCAGTATGGGGACCCAGGCAGATTGGTGAGTCAGATGTGGGTATGGAGGGTCATCAGCATGGCGGGGAGAGGGAGGCAGTTACTGGATCCCCTGTATGACCCTCTCTGCAGCAGCTGAAAACTGGCTTTTTCCACTCCCTCCTTTGGTTTCAGCCGCTGCAGAGAAAGTCATATAGGGGATCGGTTCCAGTAGTCGCCCCCCGGCACACCCATCACTCTCCCTGTGCACCATATGTTTCCCCCTGTTTCCCAGGCCCCCCCTGTGTGCCCCCATCCCCGCAGAGCTGCTGGCTTCCCTCCTCTCCTTCCCACCGGCAGCTGAAAGCACACAATAGGATCCTGTAGGATGGAGAGTTGGGGAAGGGTCCAGTAAATACAGTAGGTCACATTTTCCTGAATGAACACAATGAGTGACTGATACTCACTGAAGCATTGTAAGATAGTAAGCTGTTTTTTTTTTTGGGGGGGGGGGGGTTGTCAGGTTGGCTGTATGGGGCCCCATGGTTTCATGGTTTCAGCTTTGCCAGTGGTTATCCTCTAGAGTCCTTCTCTGTCCTCCCCTGCAAAAAGAGTTTGTGAACCAATCCACAAAAAGATAGTAAATTAACATAAAACACTGGCGTACAACCTATGGCCCCACTCATTTGGGGGGCATTTACTAACATTGGAGCAGACAGAATGCTGTGCATACCAGCCAATCAGCTTATGTCTTTAGCTTGTTCACCTAAGCCTGAAAATAAAAGCTAAAAGCTGATTGGTTGCTGTCACGTATCTGATTGGAGACTGAAATGACGAGGTCGGCCTCACTTGTGTCACTAGCCCTGACCCCACTGGAAGTGGATCAGAGGATGTCTAGGGATCAGGGGGACAAGAGTGCCATCAGATGTTGTTTGCAGCTCTTGCAGTTGGAGACATTGGAAGACCGATGAACTTCCAATTCAGGCACAGTAGTAATATGCAGAGCTGGTATGGTAGATCGCCAGGTGTGCACCAGAGCAAGGCAGGAAGCAGGGATGGGAGACAGGAGCAATGTCAAAGGAAAAGCCAGGGTCATCAACGGGCGGACAGTGAGGTACCAAATCATAAGCAAGCCAAAGTCAGGAGCAGAGACGAAGTCAGGAACAAATATCAAGCAGGAGAGTAATCAGAGTCAGGTCAGGAACAAGCCGGGTCAGCAACAAGGAAATCACACAGGAACGAGCAGGAAATGGGGAACAGCTGAAGACCAGTCAGCACTCAGCACAGGCAGAGGCACCGTTTAAATAGTCCATCTGGTGCCAATCTTCACCGTGCGTGATCGTGAATTTCTGTGCACATGCGCAAGTCTATTAGGGGCAGCCTCCGGATGCCTACTAAAGCTTGTTTTTCGGGATGAAGATGAAGGTAAGCCTGCACTAACCGTGGAGCATGGACATTAGCAGATGGTTCCCAGGAATTATCCTCTGGACCGTAGCCTTTCCATTTGATGAGGAACTGGGTCTGACCACTCCTCTTTCTACAGTTCAGGATGGCTTCTACTTCATATTCCTCATTACCTTCGACAAGCAGTGGAGCAGGAGATTCTGGACCTTGATCCAGAAATAGACTTGGAACTGTTGGTTTTAATAAAGAGACATGGAATACCGAATGGATCTTCATATTCTTTGGTAACACTAATTCAAAAGCTACAGCATTAATCTTTCTTTTGATTGTAAATGGTCCCAGGAAACTTGGACCAAGCTTCTTTGAATGGCAGCTCAATTTCAAGTTTGTTCTAGATAGCCAGACCTTATCTCCTGGTTTCAGATTCAGATTCCCCCTTATTTTTCTGTCAAAAAAATCTCTTGTTATTTGCCTGAGCCTCCAAAATAGTTTCTCATAACATTTGACCATTCCTATTGAGGAAATCCAGCCTTTCTTGTACTGCCGGGACAGCGGGTTCCCCTGGAATTTCAGGGAGGAAGGAGGAAGGATGGTATCCATAGTTGGCATAAAAAGGGGACTGTTTGGTAGTAGAGTGGATGGAATTGTTATATGCAAATTCTGCCATGGAAGGAGAGACACCCAGTCATCCTGTGAGTAAGAAGAGAAACATTGTAGATACTGTTCAAGGGTCTGGTTTGTCCTCTCAGTTTGCCCATTTGTTTGTGGATGATACGCAGAAGAAAAGCGAAGTTCAATCTCTAGTGCCTCACACAGATCTTTCCAGAACTTAGAGGTGAACTGCACTCCCCGATCGGATACAATATTGCTAGGAATACCATGTAACCTCACAATCTCTTTAATGAAAGCAGAAGCAGTCTCAGCAGCAGAAGGAGTCCCTCTCAGGGGTATGAAATGGGCCATCTTTGACAGACGATCAACCACGACAAAGATGGTGGTGAACCCTTCAGATGGGGGAAGCTCTACAATAAAGTCCAGAGAAATCATACTCCATGGTTTCAGATACTGGAAGGGATTCCAATAGGCCCCAGGTCTTGACTTTATCAGATTTGTTTCGGAGGCATACCAAGCAAGATCTAACGTAATCTTTATAATCTTTCATTAAGTTTGGCCACCAGAAGGAACGGGAGATCAAATTTGAGGTCTTGAGGATCCCGAAGTGACCCGCTAAAGGATGGTCATGGCATCTTTTAAAAATGAGAGTCCTGAGTTGTTCCGGTACATAAATCTGTTCTTTATGCAGATACAGGCTGTCCCTTAGCTGTGTTGGGAATACAACAGCATGTACTATATAGTATTGTGTGTTAATATCACTTGACCAGTAGATGGCACTGTACACTAAGGTTACTAGTTGTGCATATGTGTAAAACTTGTTGGTTCTCTCTCTTCCTATTCCTCTCTTTTCTCTCTCTTCAAAACCAAGATGTCTGCTGAAATGTGTTCTGTAGGTTTGCAACTTAAGCCACACAAGTAAAACAGTGCTCTGCCTCATCACAAGCTACCAGTGTCTTCTCTAACACATAACCAACAAGCTGAAGATGCATTTCCAAAGTGGGTGGGTGGATGTTCATCAACCGCTTCCTTTATTTGTGATACAAGGTCTGCTTGCAGGAGTAAAAAGTTTTTAGCTGGCAGGATCGTGTCAGGCTCAGATGGTACTATTGGGTCATGATACATGTGTGAGAGCGCATCGGGTTTGCTGTTCTTTGATCCTGGACGGTATGTCAAGTGAAACACAAAGCGGGAGAAGAAAAGTGCTCATCTTGCCTGTTGTGGCCTTAGGGGTGTTGCAGTTCTCAAGTATTCCAGATTTTTGCAATCCGTAAAAATGAGGATAGGGTGTGAAGCTCCCTCCAGCAAATAGCGCAATTCCTCAAGGGCTGCCTTGATGGCTAACAGCTCCCTGTCTCCTACGTCTTAGTTCCTTTCAAGGGAGCTTACCTTTCTAGAGAAGAAGGTAACAGGGTGAAGGAAGGATTTGGGTCCTTGTCGTTGAGACAATATATCTCCAACAGCATTTTCAGAAGCATCTACTTCGAGAACATAAGCTAAAGCAGGATCTGGGTGCTTCAGGATAGAGCAGAGGTGAATAAGGTCTTTAGCTGTTCAAAAGCTGCTGCTTGAGCCTCGGGAGTCCATTTGAAAGCAACATGTTGCCTGGTTAACTGCGTGACTGGTGCAATAATACCGGAAAGGTTCTTAATGAATTTCCTATAGATATGAACAAATCCCACAAAGCGTTGTACTGCTTTTCTGTCTTCTGGGACGGGCCACTCTAATACAGAGGTCACTTTTTGAGGATCCATAGCAATGCCATCGAGAGTAATCACAAGTCCGAGGAACTGAATGGTCTGTTTCTCAAATTCGCACTTTTCAGCTTTGGCATAGAGGTGATGTTGGCATAACCTACCCAGTATCTTCTTCCCATGGTCCCGGTGTTGTTCTATTGAGCTTGAGAAGACTAGGATGTCATCCAAATAAACAATGATAAATAAATCAAGATAGTCCCGGAATATATCAATAACGAAATGTTGGAATGTTGCTGGGGCATTAAAAAGGCCAAATGGCATAACCAGGTATTCGAAGTGCCCAAAGCGTGTTCGAAAGGCCATTTTCCATTCATCATCCCCTTCACGAATTCCGACTAAATTGTATGCACCTCTCAGATCTAGTTTTGAAAAGACACATGCCCCTCGTAGCCTTTGGTACAATTCAGGAATCAGAGGAAGAGGATAACGGTTCTTGACTGTTATCTTATTTAGATCACAATAGTCCACACATGGTCTAAGAGTATGATCTTTCTTTTCGACAAAGAAGATGCCAGCTCTCGCTGGTGATGTAGAGGGCCAAATAAACCCTTTTTCCAGGCTTTCATCTATGTAATTCCGGAGGACCTCTAGTTCCAATTTGGAGAGAGGGTAAATTCGCCCAAAAGGGATCTCAACACTGGGCAGGAGTTCAATAGGACAATCGTAGGGCCGGTGCGGGGGGAAGAGCATTGGCACTCTTTTTGCTGAATACATCCAAGTAATCATGGTAGACAGCAGGGTCAAGTTTCATCATCTCTGAATCAGGATGGATGCTAAGAAGAGGAGTCACTGCGCATGGTTCCTTTGGAATGCAATGGTTCTGACAGTATTCGGAAGAAAAGAGGATTTCCCAGAGAGCCAGTTAATGGATGGGTTGTGCGCCCTTAGTCAGGGCATGCCGAGGATGACCGGAAACATTGGGGAGGTTATGACATCCAGATGTAGACGTTCCTGATGATGAATGGCAGAAAATTGGCATAGTCTCTTGCATCACTGGGCCAGAACTGATACCATGTGTCAGGAATGGACTCAGCACTGGTGGTGGGACTCACCTGCCGTGTGGGCTGCAGTACCAGGGCTGACCAGCGGGTGCTCTCAGCAGCCAGAAGCTCATTCCTGCAGTCAGCCAACACTTGGTGCTGATTGCAGGAGGTGTATTTAAGGAATGACCAGGCCTGTGATCAGTGCCTTGGTGTATTGTTTCCCATGAGCCCCTGTACCTGGTATCCTGTGTTCCTGTTCTGCTGACTATCTGATTTGTTGCCGACCCTGCCTGATCCTGACCTCTGCTGACTTCTCCTGCTTGATCCTTTGGCTTGCCTGACCATCCTTCTGCCTGATCCTCTGTACCATGCTGCCCGTCAGTTGCTGAACCCGGCTTGTGACCCTGACTATTCTCTGCCTGCTCCTCCGGTACCTTGCTGCCCGCACGTTGCTGACCTGGCCTGCCTGACTACGCCTGACGCTACCCAGACGATCCATCCATCCCGCACGGATCTGTCCCTGTTACCAGGTCTGCCAGCCTCTTCACGTCAGGTTTTCCCACGATACATACCCTCGGCGGACCCCTCTACCACAGTTGGGTGCACTCAGGGGCCGCGACCTGGTCTCAGTCCTGCGCCAAGTCCATCCCCACCATCAGGGGCTCTGGTGAAAAGGCAGACTGGGGCTTAGACTCCACGCCCTGGGGAATCCCATTCTGTGGGTACTAGAGATCCCGCCGGGTGGTGCCTGACAGTACCTAAGGGAGCGGCTACAGCGGTGTGACGTCACGCCGCCGACCGGCGCCACGAGGGCCCCGGCAGCCATTTGCATTTGCCCATGTATGGGTCAGTATCTTTATTGCTCCTACCTGTACTGTTTTTTTGGGAATAAACACTCCTTGCCATAAGGATATTACACTATCTGGCCTCCTTTTGTTCTTTGAGCTCCGGTGGGAGCCATTTACATCTGCAGAGTGGCCATTTCCAAACGTGGCAACACTATCAAGCAGTGAGGGGCATTTGACCAGATCTGACCAGACCCACATAAGGATCCTTGATGTCCTGAGAGTATCTGCTTTAAATGCGCATTGGGATTGCGTATCTGGTGAGTGCGCAATCCTTATATATCTATCACCTCATCCACGGATCCAGCCATTGGATTTTTTGAAGATCATTCGGGATCTTTCCTGATCATGCTATAGACTGTATTTTGGTTTAGTGTCCAATCACCTATAGTCACCATTAGGTGACACTTTTACTTGCACCTTAATATTGTTTTATTATGCTGTTTTATTCAACTGTATTTTTTGCATTTTAGCGCTGCACCCTGCTTTTATTTTGAGTACCTAACGGCCTGCCTGACCATTCCACCTCTCCAACCCTGACTATGCCTGTGTTCCTGAAGCCTGCTACTTCCCTGTGTCAGTCCACACATCTCTGGTCATACCCGGATCCCTAACACCATGGGAGTTGGTGGCTGGTATATGGGGGGCAGTGGTAGTGGAAGGCTCTGGTGGAGGGCTGGGGTGCTCTTGGTCAATGTCAGGCTCTTTCTGCAGGGAGGGGGGGGGGCAATTTTTGTGTTGCCTAGGGCAGCACAAAATCTAAATACATCACTGGGTGCTGTGTTGTGTTGGAGGAAAGATAATGCCATAGCCATTGCTGTTTTTTTTATTTTTAGTGAATGGCTTGCCTTTTTGATAGGGCCAAGCTATATTCAACAATTACAAAATATAGAAGAATAGGCGTGTGCAACTTTAAAAGAAGAAACCTTATCTTATTAGTTCTAAAGTATGTGCCAACAGGTAAGAGGAAAGCATACAGTAAATGTGAGAAACATAAGTACATTAGTAAACCTTGGCCATCATGCCAACTAATCACAGAAAGGCTTTTTATACCCTTTGAACAACACAAACTAAATGAACCCCTGTTGGCCTCCGAATGGTAATTCCCTTGGAAGTGGTGAAAAATGCCAGCGAACCATCTCAAAGCCTTAACATAGCACAGCCTCTGGCTCTGTGCAGAATGCAGCGGATTAAAGAAGGAAACTCTTCAATGTTACCGGGGCTGGAATAGGCATGCTTTCATTGGCATCTGTCAAGGGCTCAAATCAAACACTGCATGCATGCAGAATGCCGGACTATGAAGTCATGATTGTGCGTGGAGACTCAATGTAAGGATATCTGTTATGAAGCTGCTTTTGAAGTGAAGCTGGCTCTCAATTTATTGAAAGCTATTATAAATAGGCTGTTCATTACAGGAACCACAGAAGCTGGCTCCCTGTTAAGTACTTCGGCAAGGTTGGGACAGAGTTTAAAGCTATTATGTTACAATATGTCAAAGCTTTACATTTTCTTATGAGGTGTTCACTAAAGCTGTTAGCCAAGATTTTCCTTATGGACGTTTAGATCGTGCTAAACTGACCCGAAATAACAACATTCAAAAATTTATTATGTATTTCCATCTTCCATACAATATAGAGATTGTACTGGGGGGGGGACAATGAAAACAAGCGATGGAAATGTCGCCGGAAAATAAATAGTCACGGCGTCTTCATTTCATACAGATTATTATATTAAACATAAAAAAGGGAGTTCCTGCTTATGACATGTTGCTGTAAATAAATAAATTAAAAAAAAAGACCAGAACTAACATTTTGCTACACAAAAATGTAGTATATGTTGTCATTTGCTACAAAAGTACAATGGTACTATCGGAGGGATCACTGAAGGACAAGAGACCAAGGAAATGCTTCTGCCAAACTGCAGCAAATTGATAACATAACTTCCTCTTGCAATATGTCTCCAGTCTATACTGTCTGTTGAAGCATGTCCCCAGTCTTCAACAACTCAACAACTCCTATAGTATGTTCACAGTATCTGATAGTCTGCTGCAGTATGCAGTCTCTAACCATCTCCAGTATCATGTCTGCTGTCTCTGACCATCTCCAGTATCGTGTCCTTAGTCTCTGACCATCTCCTGTATCATGTCTGCAGTCTCTGACCATCTCCTGTATCATGTCTGCAGTTTGACCATCTCCTGTGTCATGTCTGCAGTCTCTGACCATCTAATGTATCATGTCTGCAGTTTGACCATCTCCTGTGTCATGTCTGCAGTCTCTGACCATCTCCTGTACCATGTTGGGAGTCAGGTCATCTCTTGTATCATGACCGCAGTCTCTGACCACCTTTTGTATCATGTGTTCAGTCTCTGACCATTTCTTGTATCATGTCTGCAGTCTCTGGCTATTTCTTGTATCATGTCTGCAGTCTCTGACCATGTCTTGTATCATGTCTGCAGTCTCTGACCATCTCCTGTATCATGTCTGCAGTCTCTGACCATCTCCTGTATCATGTCTGCAGTCTCTGACCATCTCCTGTACCATGTTGGGGAGTCAGGTCATCTCTTGTATCATGACCGCAGCCTCTGACCACCTTTTGTATCATGTGTTCAGTCTCTGGGCATTTCTTGTATCATGTCTGCAGTCTCTGACCATTTCTTGTATCATGTTTGCAGTCTCTGGATATTTCTTGTATCATGTCTGCAGTCTCTGACCATTTCTTGTATCATGCCTGCAGTCTCTGGCTATTTCTTGTATCATGTCTGCAGTCTCTGGCCATTTCTTGTATCATGTCTGCAGTCTCTGACCATCTCCTGTATCATGTCTGCAGTCTCTGACCATCTCCTGTACCATGTTGGGAGTCTGGTCATCTTTTGTATCATGTCCGCAGTCTCTGACCAACTATTGTATCATGTTCTCAGTCTCTGACCATCTCTTGTATCATGTCCGCAGTCTCTGACCATCTCCTTTATCATATCTGCAGTCTCTGACCATCTCCTGTATCATATCCGCAGTCTCTGACCATTTCTTGTATCATGTCTGCAGTCTCTAACCATCTCCTGAAGTATGTCTGCAGTCTCTGACCATCTCTTGTATCATGTCTTCAGTAAATGACCTGAAACACGTTTGCAGAACAGTTAAGTCGCAGTAAAGTCAGCCCTTGTGTATAAATGTTTTAGGTCAGTATTGTCAGAGGGCCACTAGTATTTGCAGAACAATATGTAGCAATGGAAGTTTCCAGATTCTCTTAGGTCCCAAGCAGATTATTGCGTTGTGGAAATGCTCATTACTTCAACATGCGACAACGCACAGCTCTATGTGTAATGCATTGTGGTGCCATTCATTGGACATGGCATCCCAACAACTGTTCAGTAGTTACCAATGTAAAATGCTGGGGTGCATAAAATAAAGATGCATGTCCCTGATTTGGTCCATTGATGTGCATAACAAGCCTACTGATGATGAATGGACTTCCTAAATGCAATACACATTCATCTACGTCATATCGCACATTATTGTACTGCAACAGACCAGATACATATAAATGGGCTATAAGGTAAGCTTTCCTTTAAAGTTACCTTGGTAAACATGTGAAAAGAGCCACGAATGCCACCTGCTGGCTGGAAATAGTAAATAAGAATTATCCATATACAATGTTTCATGCCTAAAAATTGTTTTTTTTCTCCAAAAAAAATATTTTATTAGAAAAAAAAAAAGGCATAGCAAGGCATATACAACTACGGATCGCAGTCCGAGCATAGACACAGTAAATAGCCTCCCGTTGCGCAGGCGGGTCATAGATGTAGACTACAGTGCAATCATAGTAGGACAATACATTAGGACAGTGTTTCTCAACTCCAGTCCTCATGGACCCCCAACAGGTCATGTTTTCAGGATTTCCGTTATTTTGCACAGGTGATTTGATCAGTTTCACTGCCTTAGTAATTACCACAGCTGTTTCATCTGAGGGAAATCCTGAAAACATGACCTGTTGGGGGTCCATGAGGACTGGAGTTAAGAAACACTGCATTAGGACAAGTGCATATTACATATCTGCAGATATAAAAGTATATTAGATAAATTAATATATATAATAATGGATACTGACCCATGTAATAGTGAGCTCTTATGTTGAGAGAGTGTAAAGTGTTGGGTAGCCTTGAAAGGCGTGTATGTTCTGTTTTGTGCATCCGGATCAAGAATGTGTGAGGTACGTAGACAGGGGCGGACTGACAACTCCAGGGGCCCCGGGGCAATAGGGGATAATGGGGCCCCTGTGTCCTTGCCCAAACTCAAAAAAGCCTATGGAAAAGGTACCAGGGGCATCTCATGGGGCCCCCTACTGACCCCGGGCCCTCGGGCAGTGCACGAGTTTCCAAATGGTCAGTCCGCCCCTGTACGTAGAACTAGTTGCGTCTGTAAGAGAATGAATGCTATATTCTGTTGGGGCGAAGTGACTGAGGAGAGTGTATACAAGAAGAAGAATAAAGATAAATCTGAAAGAATAGGACAGTTAGAGAAAGGAATGTGGAGTGGTGTAGCGGGGGGGGAGAGACGAGAGGGAAAAAAAAAATATATAAATGGGGGAGGAGGGAAGGGGGGAATGGATAAATGCGGATAAATACTAAAAATTTAAACTTTTTTAAAATATATTTTATAATCCTGAACAAAATATAGAAAGAAAAAAAATTAACCAAATTAATACACGTTTCCTTTTAAAGCCCGTCTCCAATTTTTTTAAATGGGTTTGCTTTACTTTTAATTGGGGTAGATTTACCTTTCCATTTCATTATAAATTCACTGTAATTTTCTAAAAATGTTGAGAAAATTCAATGCAATTATGGCAACCTAGAGGTATTGTAAACATCGTTGGCATATGGAACGCTCCCTACAATGCCAGCGCTGGAAATCAATATAGGCAGGGTAGGCACAGGCCTATGGGCTCCATTACATTTAAGGGCCCTGTGACAATGGATCAAAGTAATATTGATTTGATCTTGAAAGAAAATTACAATGACGCTTTCTTCAATTTTGGTGCAACCTACATCTGTGTAATGTACAGTAGTGATGGCCATCTCCATATAACGTCCAATGTGCACACTACGCATTATCCCACTAGAGAGCTCGCATGAGAAACCTCCAGAAACAAAGCCTCGGTGAGTTAGTTGCCTGCCAACTCCAGACCTTATGCAGGCCATAGATGGGTCAAAAATCGGCCGATTTTTCTTTTAAAAAATGAAAAATCGGTCATTCAAGCGGCCGACGTTACCAGCAACGGTAAAAAAAAATGGCCGATTTTCATCCCGTCTACAGCCGGCAAAAAGTGTCCCTGCAGAGAGCTCCACTATTTCTTTGGCAGTTCTTTGACATTTATAGCGGTTGCAACAATGTATCTATTTGTATCCATTTAGGATACAGATGTTTTTATTCGGAAACAAATAGATACAATGTTGCAACCGCTATAAATGTCAAGGAACTGTCAAAGAAATAGCGGAGCTCTCTGCAGGGACACTTTTTGCCGGACTGGAATTCCTCTTCTTTTTCATCCTCTTCTTCTTCTTCCTCTTCTTCTTCTTCATCCTCTTCTTCTTCTTCATCCTCTTCTTCTTCATCCTCTTCTTCATCCTCTTCTTCTTCTTCCTCTTCTTCTTCTTCATCCTCTTCTTCTTCTTCTTCCTCTTCTTCCTCCTCTTCTTCCTCTTCTTCATCCCTCTTCTTCTTCTTCTTCTTCTTCTTCTTCTTCTTAATCTTCTTCTTCATCCTCTTCTTCTTCTTCATCCTCTTCTTCTTCTTCATCCTCCTCTTCTTCTTCATCATCCTCTTCTTCTTCTTCATCCTCTTCTTCTCCCTCTTCCTCTTCTTCATCCTCTTCTTCTTCTTCCTCTTCTTCATCCTCTTCTTCTTCTTCTTCTTTTTCTTCTTCATCCTCTTCTTCTTCCTCTTCTTCATCCTCTTCTTCTTCATCCTCTTCTTCATCCCCTTCTTCATCCTCTTCTTCATCCTCTTCTTCTTCTTCTTCTTCCTCTTCTTCTTCATCCTCTTCTTCATCCGCTTCTTCTTCATCCTCTTCTTCATCCTCTTCTTCTTTTTCTTCTTCTTCTTCTTCTTCTTCCTCTTCTTCTTCCTCTTCCTCTTCTTCTTCCTCTTCTTCATCCTCTTCTTCATCCTCTTCTTCTTCTTCTTCCTCTTCTTCATCATCCTCTTCTTCCTCTTCTTCATCCTCTTCTTCATCCTCTTCTTCTTTTTCATCCTCTTCTTCTTCTTCCTCTTCTTCTTCTTCATCCCTCTTCTTCATCCTCTTCTTCATCCTCTTCTTCTTCTTCCTCTTCTTCTTCTTCATCCTCTTCTTCTTCTTCTTCCTCTTCTCCATCCTCTTCTTCTTCTTCCTCTTCTTCATCCTCTTCTTCTTCTTCCTCTTCTTCTTCTTCTTCTTCTTCTTCTTCTTCTTCTTCTTAATCTTCTTCTTCATCCTCTTCTTCTTCTTCATCCTCTTCTTCTTCTTCATCCTCTTCTTCTTCTTCATCATCCTCTTCTTCTTCTTCATCCTCTTCTTCATCCTCTTCTTCTTCCTCTTCCTCTCTTCTTCATCCTCTTCTTCTTCTTCCTCTTCTTCATCCTCTTCTTCTTCTTCTTCTTCTTTTTCTTCTTCATCCTCTTCTTCTTCCTCTTCTTCATCCTCTTCTTCTTCATCCTCTTCTTCATCCCCTTCTTCATCCTCTTCTTCTTCCTCTTCTTCTTCATCCTCTTCTTCATCCGCTTCTTCTTCATCCTCTCTTCTTCATCTTCTTCTTCTTCTTCTTCTTCTTCTCTTCTTCTTCTTCCTCTTCTTCTTCCTCTTCTTCATCCTCTTCTTCATCCTCTTCTTCTTCTTCTTCCTCTTCTTCATCATCCTCTTCTTCCTCTTCTTCATCCTCTTCTTCTTTTTCATCTTCTTCTTCTTCATTCTCTTCTTCTTCTTCATCCTCTTCTTCTTTTTCCTCTTCTTCTTCTTCATCCTCTTCTTCTTCCTCTTCCTCTTCTTCATCCTCTTCTTCTTCCTCTTCTTCATCCTCTTCTTCCTCTTCTTCATCCTCTTCTTCTTTTTCTTCTTTTTTGTCTTCCTCTTGCAGGTCACTGCTCATGCGCAGATTTTTTTATCGGTAAAAAATCGGCCGATTTGCCCATCATTGCTGCGAAAATCAGCCGGTCGGCAAAATCGGCCGATTTTTTTTCCAACTTTACCGATAAAAAAAATCTGCCAAAATACCGAAAAACGGCCGAACAATTAGCGCACTAACGATCCGAAAATCGGCCGATTTTATTTTCGGCCGAAAAATCGGTCGATTTTCGACCCATCTATGGCCTGCATTAGTAGTATATTAGGTTGGAAAAAGTAAAAACATATTAGGAGATAATTTGCATCGGGAGCCCCAAGGTTTCGATTGCCTAGGGGCCTCCAGCTTTATCTGGCACTGCCCAGAAATGTCACTTACTGTATGTGTGATTGGCTCACTGATTTTCTCAGACATTTGCACTAAGATACAAGGTAAAATTTGTAAAGATTGTTTGTTAGCATAATTGAACATTCAAAGTGGGATAAACTCAAAGTTCAATCCAAACACAAGTTGCGGCAGAACTTTGGCTGTTCTGGTGTTTGTCCGATTGCCAGACTTTTTTGCTTGTTTGGCATGAGCCGCAGTATTTCTGCCACTTCTGTATGTGACAGCAGGTCCGGATCTAGGGGAGCTCTGGGGTGGGCTATGCCCCCCTAGATTTTAGTTGTGCCCCCCCAGACCTCTGAGAGTACATCCACAAATCTATAAGACCTGATGGGGACAGTTGATGTAAGAGGGCACTCTGAGGGGGCAATTGATATCAGGGGACAGTTGATGTAAGGGGGCACTCTGATGGGAACAGTTGATGTAGAGGGGCACTCTGAGTGAGGCAATTGATCTAAGGGGGCACTCTGATGAGGCAGTCGATGTAAGGGAGCACTCTGATGATGAAATTGATGTAAGGGGGCACTCTGATGAGGCAATTGATGTAAGGGGGCACTTTGATGAGGAAACTGATGTAATGGGGCACTCTGATGATGAAATTGATGTA